TTCAAAACAAACCAAAGCGAGAAGAAGAGAAATTCGACATTTATGCACTGTGACTATCGCCAAGTATTGAAAAAAATTGTTCTGTTGGTACCTTAAAATAGTGAGGTTGCTGATTAACTTTACATGATTTATGAGATCCTATATGAGGTTGTTCTGTACGTGACGTATGATGACGTTTAGGGGTCATGAGCAGGCATCTCAAAGTAGCACTTGTGTCATCGTTCAGTCTAGAAGTAGAAATATCATCAAGGAGTTTAGTCATGGATCATCTCTGCTTACAAATACTTGGATGCTTCATCTCGCCATATGAATTTCTTTCATGGGTCAACTGTTCTAGGCATAGATTCATTTTTCTTGATACAGATTAACTCTCCCAGTCACGTGTCAACCCCTTATTGATAACAGGCAACCCCGTTTTGATACTAGTCGAACCCCTTCTTCTTGATCCAGGTCAAAACCCTCTTGATACGGTTCAAACCCCTTCTTGATATAGGTCAACTGTCAACTCTTCCTTGATATAGGTCAAATATTTTGATCCGGGTCAACTCCCTTCATACCTTTTATAAAGTTGGCGCGAGCTGGAATCGATCCCGCACCTCCGTCTCCTCGACCCTGTATAATAGGTGCTGGCCTCACGCACAGCCAATTATGGAACTTCTGAGCGAATTTCTAATTAGGTCAGCACATTCGTGCGTAGGCCGTGCATAAATAGACAGATGTTCATATTTCAAGTCTTAGCCAGCCACTTTTTGTGGATGTAGGTAATCGACCTTTAGCTACCTTCTTTCTTCTTCTTCGTTCTTTAATTTTAGTGTTGGAAGGTAATCCCCTCCAGCACAATTAAGTGTACGTGTCAACTAGTTATGCGCCATTGAGGCCATTGACTGCGATTTCAGCCTGCTCTTTTTTTTATCTGCTTCCATAGCCTTTGTCCAATCAAGAACAAACTACAAGGCAGCAGTTGTTTAATTTTGGAGTTGTCTCTCCTAGAAGAGTGGCTGTCCCCCAGATAACGAGCCTCATCTCCCCGAGGGTTCGAACTCGAGACTTTTCGGCAACCATGAGCTTTACCGACTCGACGACACCGACCCCTATTTTGCTACCCAATAACACACCCCCATCCAGATTGTTATCAGACTATATGTTTAGAGTAATGATTTTTTTTTTAAAGTAATTTTAATATATTTTGAAGTTGACTTAAGTTTATAAATTTTCAGTGATCTATAGCCAACTAAATCAGCAGGTCAACACGTGATTCACATATGACTATGAAAAGTTAAGCTGTACGGTTTTCGTGGGCGGGTATTTCATGACGGAATAGGCAACGTTAAAGTGTGGACATCGCGTTATGTTTAATGTTTGGGCTGTGTCATTCTAATTGTGTATTGAATTGGTGAGCCTAGTCGTTAAATAAAAACCTGAAGTGGCGAATACTAAGCGTTTTGTCACGTCATTTTATCGTTAGTCCCGAGGTGAGGTGGAATGACTGAGTCTGGTAGTAGAACCCTCACAGAGAAACCTCGTACTAGCTTACTAGTGAAGGTCAAACCTCTCCCACAGCCGTAACTCGTATCGTAGTTAAGTGAGGAATCCGTTTTAGACCTTGTGTTCTAGCGATCCATTGGGCAGATGAAGTAGAGTTTATCCAGCCACCTTTACTTTCCCTAACATGAGTTAGAGCTGGGTGGACGTACGGATTCGAACTCGAGACTTTCATGTTTGCAGCCTAGCGTTCTACCGCTTAGGCCACACAGTCCCATTTGAATCATATATCATAGCTATAAACCGCGCGACGACATATTCCCTGCGTTAGTTTGCTGTACTTAATCGTTTAGAAAGCCGAGTCAGTGTTAAAACATCAGGGGCGCTGTATTTGAGAAGAGTTCGATCGCTTTAACAACAGTTGGTTAACCTTCCACAACACAGGTGAGTGTTTAAATACCCAGTCATGTGAACTACAGATCTGATGTTCCCATGCATGGGTAGCTCATACATTTTTTTTTGGTAGTTCATACAATGCTTTTAGAATCACATCTCAGCTGCAACGAGTTTTTTTTTTTTTTTTACATGATTAGTAGTATTCTAATCTAATTGGATTTTGAAGTTTTCGGTACATCAGTGTTAAGATAACTTTGTAGCAGTCACTGTACTTGTGCATGTATTCTAAAATCATTGAACTGAGAGCGTATTCATTTCGCTATATTTTAAAATGTATTTTCTTTATCACGAAACCCTGATCGTATTGAGGATACCCTTTGTCACAGTATGTTCGTTTTTTTAAAAATCAGTTCTAATGTTAACTTATCGCCCGTGTATTTCCGTTTTTCTTTAATCAGTTCTAATGTTAACTTATCACCCAAGTACTCCCCTCACAACGCTTTTGGCAACCACACCCCGTCTTACATAGACTACATAAATATAAACAATTATCGACTAGACATATTGGCAACTGTTAATTAACTTTAACTGATACTTTGTTTTAAATTTTTTTAAAAATATTTTAAATAAGGCACTGTTTGTGTATATATTTTTCGCCCACCGATAATTTTAAGAGCTTTACAGTATTCGCAAATGATAACATTCAAAATCAGGTTGTGGATAATTTTTTTTTTTTTAAATTTACAGTTGGCCAAGTTCTCATAGAAAAAGACGTAGACATATTCTCGAGGAAAACGGTTATTTATCAAATGTGCGACCACATTATGCCGATAGTCTGGCTTTTTTTTTCATTCGTTTTTTTTTTTAGAGCAGAGATGGAGAAAGCACAAATAATTTTTTTTTAGCAGATCGCAATCGAAAAGCAGCGCGTCTTGACCTCCCTTGGTCAAAAGCACGGCCGTACTCATTGTTGAAGGGCTGCCAAACATGCGCAGCGCACACACACAAAATTACCGTCTTCATTCGTTTTGTGAAACTTGTAAAACTATTAAAACGGTTACAGAGATATGAGGGTAACACTAGCTGCTAATACAGCTCGTATTGGAAGTTGTAGCCAATTTTCTGGTGAACGATATCACTATGTCGGACTTTTTTTTTATAATGGGTGGGGGGCTCTTTATTCTTAGCTTGTAGAAAACAAAGTAGAGAGAAGAAAAAACTTCTGCAATTTTTTTTTTTTTTTTTTTTTTTTGCTTAAAGAGTATTTTTTTTTTGCTTAAAGAGTAGATTTTTTAGGCACTTTATAAATTATCTTATTCTTCGCATGTATAAAAATAAGGCACAGAAAAAAAAAAGCTTAGTATGTTAATTTTTTTTTATTGTTGCTCAAAGAGTTGGTTTCCAGAGATCGGAGCTTTTGGTGAAAAGAATACCCTGTTATCCCGCACCCGCCCTTGAGGGTACAAGTAGAAATGATTAGCCCCCGGCCAGTCAAATCCTGTGTCAATTTATCTCCATTAGGGCTTATGCTCAATGCCGGGCCGCTGGTTGAGACGTTGGGCTTGCTCAGTGTCTCCCCCAGTAATTGCCCGGAAAAAAGCTTTTAAAACCTCCTCCTCCTGTTTCAGTCTTCTGAAACCACATTCGCTATCCACCACAGGTGTGCCCGTTGACCCTGGGTTGTTTTTTTTTTTAAACTCTTTTTATGTAGGCGGTTCTTTTCAAGTTTGATCAAAGTCCGAAAAAAAAAAAAAACCTTAAAAAAAAATTTAAATTATGTTTAAAATGCATGAGTGTATGATAAACATGTTTAATGGGCAACCAGTACTTAGTGCTTGTTTTAGTGGGGGGGGGGGGGGGTTCTTTTATGAGGGGTGAAAGAAGTGACCATTGGTGTGGTAGATTCAAAGCAAAAGCTTATGGCTAACATTAGAGTTAACCATGGAGTGGCTAAAAGTAAACACATGTTTGGCCTTGATTTGGAAGGATAGAAAAAAAAAATTATGGGATGAAACTTCGTGGAGAGCCAGTGATGAAGAAAGAAAATACAAGGAGGCAGGGTGAGAGAGATGTTTATAGTTTCTCTCTCTTCTTAAAATAGAAAAAAAAAACTAGAGATGGCTACTTGGCATCTGGGTAAATTAATAGGTTATTTTTAGATATTTACATTCTTTAAAGGGCTATCTGCTTTCTCCAATATAAATTTATGGTAAGGGGCAATTTTTATACAGCAGGTCAAATAGTTTGTACAGAAGGTCAGTTTGTACAGAAAGTCAAATAGTTTGTACACCAGGGCAAATAGTTTGTACACCAGGGCAAATAGGTTGTACACCAGGGCAAATAGGTTGTACACCAGGGCAAATAGATTGTATAGCAAGTCAAATAGATTGTATAGCAGGTCAAATAGTTTGTACAGAAGGTCAAATAGTATGTACAGAAGGTCAAATAGTTTGTACAGAGGGTCAAATAGTTTGTACAGAAGGTCAAATAGTTTGTACAGAAGGTCAAATAGATTGTACAGCCAGTCAAATAGTGTGTACAGTACATCAAATAGTGTGTACGGTGTGTCAAATAGTTTATAAAGTGTACTAAAAATATATAAATAATCAGTTCATCAATTTATATAGACATATACATTGTTAATAAATATGAACAGTTAAAGGGCAATACTCCAGCAAAGAACACCATATACCATTAACTAACAAAAGAAAAGTGTTTTTGCTTCATTGTATGACTCACAGCCACAACCTATACCATTGGTTAAAGTGAAAATAAAACAGATTTTATTTTGTTTTTAAAAAAAAAACAAATATGGAGGAAGAGCTAGCCTATTTTTTTTACCTTTAGTTTTATTCAAAGGTTTTCAATCTGTGGGTTGTGATCCCCATCCAGCTTGTAGACTAACCCAAACAAAAATATTTGTTTACATTTTGATGGGGCTCTCTTTGCTTTTATATAAAGGGGCTGCCATTTTTAAAAGTTTGGAAACCTGTGGATTAATTCATTAAGCCCCAGTAGAAGCAATTTGATTAAGAAAAAATTACTATATCTCCAAAAAAAAAGGGTTCAGTGATTAAATTTAAAAGAGAAAGTAATATGCATTTTACTTTCATTTCTTCCAGGAAACCAACCACATTTGCCACATTGGTACACAGAGGGAGGAAGAAGTTGTTCTTTGGTTTACCTGGCAACCCTGTCTCTGCCATTGTCACTAGCAACCTGTACCTCATACCTGCCATAAGGAAGATGTCTGGCTGCCCCAATCCACAGAGGACTGTTATCAAAGTCAAGGTCAGTAGCTGCTAGAAGGTTGTCTCCCTGTTAGTCTTCAATTAACTAAAGCACTTTTTTTTACATATTTATTTCTAACGAGCCGGCCCGCGGCATAACATACGCCGCTATTTAGTTGTTTCTAATTTTCAATAATTCATAATTTGTGAATTCGACAGTACCAACGCTGACACTGAAAATATTTCTTTAAAACACTATAAGTAGCTCGTTAAGGACCATAACCCCCCCCCCCCTTCCTTCCCCCCCTCCCCCCCTTCCTCCCCCCCCCCCTACGTTTAAAATCGTTGGCTCTGCTTGTAAACATTTAGAGTGAACACAGCTCACTAAAACCATGTAGGGGTGGGAAGGTAGGGAGAGCGTTTGCAGCTTGTTTTCTAACGGCTCGAAGAGGAGAATTATATATATAGATTATTTTATCACTTCATAAATATATAAACATAACCTTTATATTTTAATCTCTAAATATTAAATCATTACATTTAAATATAAATTTGTAAATTTAGACATTATCAGAAAACATTGGTATCTATTATGGTTGAGTCTTATTTCCCAAATTTGATATATTTATATACATATAAACCTACCTCAGCCATGTGTAAAGTGTAGCAACTTTAAAAAAAAAAATGTCCCATATTATTATTATGAACATTTTTTGCTACAGACTCTATATTAAGCTACATGGATCATTACTGAGTGTAATATTTTAGTTGTGAAACTTAAAATCATATAAATTAAATTTAAACAAATGAACGCTCTACATTTTCCCCCATAGATTTTTAAACAGTTGTGAGAGGGCATTGTTATTAAATACTATTTTATAGGTAGATATTCATCAATAATTATTTATAAATTAGTCTTAAGCCTGTAACAGTAATATCAATTTTTACCGGCATACTGGTATCAATAGTGGTGATATGAATTAGTTTTAAATTAGTCTTTAGCCTGTAACAGTTGAATAAAATACTATTTTGTTGTCTGACTGCCATCAATACGACTGCTTTTCTTATTCTGCTTTCTTAATTTTAGCATTGGAAGAGATTCCCTCCTACACAATTAAGTAGGCCCTATATGTGTTAACTGGTTGTGTGCCATTGAGGCCATTGACTCTGATTTCGGCCTGCTTTTCTTTTTGGATTTGCTTCCATAGCCTTTGTCCAACTTAGAGCAAACTACAAGGCAGCAGTTGTTGGTTTTGAGTAGTCTCCCCTATAAGAGCGGCTGTCCCCAGCTAACGAGCCTCATCTGCCTAGGGTTTGAACTCGAGACTTTTCGGGTTTAGCTTTCCCATGAGCTTTCCTGACTCGACCACGCCAACCCCTATGACTGCTTTAAATGAGTTGTAATTGAATGTTTAACTTTAACAATTGTACCCACTACTACTCCTTCAGGTGGACAGGGACCTGATTCTCGACCCCCGACCTGAATACCACAGGGCGTCCCTGACCTGGCCTGCGGGGGATGTGACCCCCACGGCCCACACCACAGGCAACCAGATCAGCTCCAGACTGCTCAGCATGAGCACGGCCAGTGTGTTGATGGTGCTGCCCGCCAGAACCAGCGCCCTCACCCACATACAGAAAGGTGATGTGGTCGACGCCATCGTCATAGCTGACTTGTGAGAACCTCAGTCAGTCACCTGGTTGCTATGGAGTGAATCAACCACCTGGTTGTTATGGAGTAACCGGAAAGTGTTTAGTTGTTAAGAAATAAACAGAATGTGTTTAGTTGTCATGAAATAAACAGAAAATGTATCTCTTTCTTTAATTAGAAAACTAAACCAAATTATTAGCTTTTTTTTTTAATTTGTATACTGTCTCAAGCATTTGTTTTGTAATAAATTCAATTCTTATTTTTAATGTAATAAGCTAACCTCAGTTGTATGATATTAATAATCTGATTTTTTTCTTTTCTTTCTTCCACTAGATAAATAGCTTAAATAATAATTCTCAACACATTGCCACTCAGTTAATTAATCAAAAGTACAAGTTATTGTTTCAATAAAACAAAAATCCAAGTTTTGCCACAAAGTACAGATTTTTCAGTACATATTTCAAATGAGATCTTACTGACTACAGTACTTTTAAGCCCTGTAGTGTAAAGACCACTAATTGCTTAATTGCTTATATTTCAAGTGCCTTAAAATGTTCTTCCAATCATCAGTGTGTGTAAGAGTGAAAATAAATTTAGATGAGGTAGAGAATGAATATATCAGCTTAACTCTTCTGTGATATACAACTTAAACTGTTTAACGTACATGCATAGTCCTGAAAATGTATTATACTAAAAAGAAAATGCGTTCTGATATATTTACTAATTCCAATTAATTTTTAAGGTGTTAGAAACTCCAAGTTTTTCCTGACATTAAGAAATTACTTACCCTATTTATAGTAGAAAATTAACTTCAGTTTTTTTTTTTCTCTATATGAATACAGCCAGGGTTTTCATTTGAATGGGCATTAAAGAAAAGTACACTAATCAGCATAATAATTAGCCAACACATATCTAATTAATTAATAAAAAAATTTCCTGGATTTGTAAATAGATTAAAATATCTTTTTGATTGGATACCTTAATTTTACTTAGTTACAATGTATGACAGGTGTGTTACACTATGCTGGTGTGCTTTAGTTATAAAAACCTGTTTATTGTTCACTCTTGACTGTATTTTTAGTGTTTCTTGGTAAAGTGAGGTCTGTACACTATACACTCCATAGTGAGTGAAAAAAAGAATGTCTATTTGTGTTGATAGCCACTAGGAAAAGTTTTGGTTGTTGTCTAGCAATGAGTGAGAGAGTGAAATCTTGGTCTTAACATGGTATTACATGAATCCACCTATAATATTTATAATTCTTTACAAAACAATGGGTAAAAAATTATTAATTTATTTAATGTTTCAATAAATCAGTAAAATATATAAATATTTTTGCACCACTGCTACTAATTATTAAAGATAACAACTATCAAATATGAAATATGTTCATTCATTTATTGTGTAGTTTATTTTTTTGTTTTCCTTTGTATGATTTACCTATTTATGTTAATTAGTTTTTTTTCTAATGTGTGAGAACTTTACACCAAACATTTTATTTTTATAAGTTTCCTAAAATTCCTATTAAATATTTATTAAAATTATCTTTTTTTAATTATTTATTTTTATGTTTTAGTATGTTTTTTGGTACACCAAACATTTTATTTTTATAAATTTCCTAAAATTCCTATTAAATATTTATTAAAATTTTCTTTTTTGACTTCTTTTTTTTTTTATAAATTTTTGTCATTTGCTTTAGCGAAGGTACGACAAAACAATGAACTGGTATCAAAATTAACTATGTTATAGAGAACTAATGAGCTCTTGGAGAGTATTGTTATTGAAATGCCAAGCATAAATATAGAACAAGTAGTATGATGACAACTGATTGGCTGTTGTACCTGACTGACAGTTGACAGGTTCTTGCTGACAGCTGTAAGACTGTTGTATCCAGCTGACTGGCTGTTGTACCTAGAAATGTGTGGGCATAGTATAAGAGCCTCTTCAGATAATTCTTCCAAAACCTATATAGTAGGGGCTTTTGTGGACTTATTGGTAACCTACTATCTGGAATAGTAAGGTTCTCAAGTCTGGGACTTAGAACATAGCAATTTGTTAAACCGTAAACATAACGACAGAGGGGGGGGGGGGGTGTGGACCGCACCGGGTGACACCATTTAGGGGGGTGACACCAAGGCAAAAAATAGCAAAATATATATATAGAAAATTGTTAATTCCATTTAATTAAGTGATTAATTCGAGTGTTAAGTAGTCTTTTAAGAGGTGTTAAAATCGAAAAGTTTGAGGGGGTTTGTGCAAATTGAAAGTTTGAGGGGAGGGGGGTGCAAATCGAAAAATGTGTCCCCGGGAAGGGTCATATGCCTCTGGGGGTGACACCATTAAGTGCTGCACCGGGTGACACCCGACCTCGCTACGCCACAGCATAACGATAAACCTAGAGTTAAATAATAGTTGATGGCTGCTATTATTATATAGAATATGAATAAGTGGGTATGGCTAATCTACATCATCATGCAGCTAGAGTTTGTGTGTAGCACTACGACCAAAGATGTGTTTTTCTTTACCAAATGATGTAGCGTACACGTTGAGTTGTAAGCAGGTCCTAAAGCAGATTTACAAAAAAATGTATAATCTAGATCTATGTAATATTCCAGGGTAATCTATCGTTTTAGGTACGTAAAATCGCCCGCAAATAGTAATGTGAAAAACAGGTGACTCCTTAAATTTTAATAATTATTTCACATTTTGAGGAGGATTTATGTTTCGAAAAATACAAAAATGTTTCCTTGTTTCATTTATGTACCTGTTTTCAAACAATTGAATTAAAACTTTTCAATAATAAATGAAGACTAGCGATGTTTCCAACAGATGCAACCATGCTCATTTACTATAGCAGCCATCTTGTTTAAGTTCTTTCTTTGTTAACTTATAGCGCACGATTCAAGGGAAGGCAACTCTATTTTACAAATGGCTGCTGTTTATATAGGAAATACTGCTCACAAACACTGCTGTTAAAAGTTAATTTATTGCCTATTTTGATATATTTAGTTATTGATTTAGGTTTATTATTCATTTATCTATAATATTTGAGACAAATATATCAAAATATACTTCTATTAAAGCCTTGACAATGAGGTAACTTTTTCGTACATTACTAGCCGCGGGCGATTTTACGTACCCAAAACGATAGATTACCTATTCCAGATTTAAATCTAGACGAATAACAAGAAGACCAGGCTTACTCGTTTTTATTATAATCTTTATTGTCTATAGGCCTACATTTAACAAATTTGCTTTTTAAAATACGTTCTTAATAAATTAAATTTATTTTTTAACAGTAGGCCTAGTGAGTTATGTTATGATGAAAAAAAAATAGTTTAAGTATTTGTAAAATACCTAATCTAGATCTAGATCTAGAATGGCCTATTTCGGTAATCATTTAATGTTACGTCATTTGGTTTACTACTCTTTTAAATCTGTCAACTTTAAGTTTTAGAGTAGCCTACCCTTTCAAAATAGCAGACGACGTTTAGACCTAAATATTACTAGAATCTAAATAAAAGGTTTTTTTAAATCTCAAAATGGATTTAGAATCTAGACCTAGACTCTAGGGTAAAATCACGATATAGCGTCGGTTATTATTCCGGAACTGTACAGCAGTAAAAAACAGTAAAACCATGGCGTAGTCTGTCGAGCCGTTCCGGAAACCACCGGAAATACTGTAAACCATCATTTATTTGCCGCCATATTATTTTTAATACATAATGTTTAAAAATGTGCAAGGATTGATTTTAGTTGCATTTTAAATACTGTTTTGCTAATTATTTTGTATTTCTAATTATTTTAAGTCTATGTGCTAATTATTGCTGCTACTAAACATTATTCTAGTTATTCTTACTACTTTTAACTTTAGTTAATCTAATCGTCTTATTTACTAACAGAACAAGAGCTGGTTGTCGCAAATCTTCTGCAGGTTTTTTCTGTTTCTTAAAAAAAAATAATTAATTACTACACTCGAGTTTATTAATAATATTTAGATTTTCTATCTGTTATTAATTTTCTGTCAATTAAACTGTAAATTAAGTTAAAACATTAATTTAATGCACTTGACTTTATTTTTATTTCACCGGTCAAATAAACTATGGTTTACAGTAACGAATGTTACCGAAACTCAACGAACATTACCCAATAATTTCCGACGCTATATCGTGATTTTACCGACTCTAGATCTAGATCTAGATTAGACCTAGTCTAGCTAGATTTTAGATCTAGATTCTAGATCTTCTAGAATCTAGACTTTCTAGTCACTTATCACAGACTTATGGTTTGTTTGTTTTTCAAACGTCCATTTTTGTGGATTGTAGAACTAGAATCTAGTCTAGATCTAGATCTAGATAATCTAGAATAAAATCTAGATTCTAGATCTCTAGATTAGATCTAGATCTTATACTAGATCTAAGATCTAGAATCTAGACAATCGATCAGTTGATCTATAATATTCTAGATCTGGTTTATAGATCTAGACTAGACCGATCTAGATTTAGATCTAGAATAGAATCCAGGTCTAGAAATCTAGACTAGCTAGATTCTAGATCTAGATCTAGAATTTAGATCTAGAATATAAATAATCTAGATCTAGAATATATTTATAAGTTTTCCCGCATTCTGGTTTGAAAAAGAAGTTAATCTTCTAAAATCTATTCTAGATCTATTCTAGATATTTAGATCTAGATTCTAGATAATCTAGAATCTATGCCACCTAATCCAGAGGCGTAGCGACCCTTCCCGGCGACCGGGGACAAACTTTCAATTTGGCGCCCCCCCCCCCCCCCCCCATATATTTTTAAATTTATAATGCAAAACTGCAGCTAAAATGAGCTTTTAATTTTTTTAAACCCATTTTAGCGCCCCCTAGTGTCGGCGGCCGGGGACATATGTACCTAATCTAGAGCTCTAGGTCTAGATAAAGTTACATTCCAGAATAAGATAGTGTGCTGTATGTTTTTATCCGTCATTTATTCTTTGATTTAGAATTAGATCTAGAATCTAGACTTTTAGATCTAGAGTCTAGACTCTAATTCTCTTATGTATTCTTATAAAGATCTAGAGCTAGATTCTAGATTCAATTAATAACAATTATCAATTTAAGCCTTAAGCCATTTCAATTTGTAGCTCTCAACTGGGAAGGTGGGCGAGGCCGAGATAGGGGGGGGGGGGGAACAAAAATGCAACCATAATGTTTGAATTGGATCTTGATCTAGTCTAGATCTACATAATCATAATTACATTTCGCGCACATTTGCAGTCATTGCAAGATCTAGATCTAGACTAATAGTTTAGTAAAAATAAACCGGGAGTGATCTCCCCTAAACTTTCTCGAATATTCTTATATAAAATAACAGGGGATGGGAACTCGGGCTATAGACATGATTTTTAATCCATTTTAAATACTTAAAGTTTTAAAAATAGAATAAAATCTCGTAGAAAAAAGATTGCACACCAAGTGAACGCCAAATAAAAAAGTGCATAATAGTGCGCAAAATTATTAGTACTTTAAAAATTTACATTAGTTTTTTGAGAAATCGGAAGTAGCGTAAATTAGTACTTCCGGGCAACGGAAATTACTCAAAATTTGACAGAGGGTAGAGAATTAGATCTTATACTTACATGCGAAATTTCATTTATCTATCTGAAATAGTACTCAAGTTATAGGCTTTTGAAAAATTCAAAGTAGAAAAAGTACCACTTCCGGTTATCGGAAATCGCTCAAAAGTTGATACGGATCTACGATTTTGATAAAATACTTATATATGAAATTTCATCAACCTAGCTGTAACGGTACTCAAGTTATCGTGTTTACACACGGACAGACACACACACACACACAGACATACGGACAGAATTGCAAAGCCCAGTTTTTCAGACTGGATTACGCATAAAACCTCTTAATTTTGATAAATCTGGATTGATAATTTTTGCCCGATTAAAATAAGTCCTCTATACTTCGGATGTGATGAAGGACTGAGGTGTAATACGGTGAAAATTGTTAAAATTTCAATTGATTTTTGTGCACGATTACAATACTTTCTCTATACTTCGTATATACGAGAAAGTAAAAATCTATAACATTAGTAGTTAATCTATCTTTATTCTAAAGACACCATTTCACGCTTTTGTGTAAATTGTTTTTAAAAAAAACACCTCGCGGAGTGTTAAGTGTAAGATAAGACAAAAATAGCCAAATACAGGGGGTGGGTACAATGGCGTCGCTAGGTCGAGTATCATCCGGTGCGGCACCTCATGTTGTCACCCCCCCCCCCCCCCCCCCCCCCCCCACCTTGTCGCGATCGTTAATGTGTACTTAAATACTTTTTAACCCTAATTAACCATTCATTAAACTGACAAAAAGTATATTTATTCTATATATTTTGCAGTTTTTTTTGTCCTTGTGTCACCCCCCCCCCTCCCCGTAAATGGTGTCTCACGGTGCGATCCGCACCACCCGCCCCGCCTCGCGACGCCTCTGGTTGGGTATAACACGTTTATAGATTGGCGGACGGACCGAGAAAGTGTGAAGGGGAGTAGTGAAGAGGAACGGTAATCTAAAGTCCGCAATTATGATTAATTAATTAAAAATGTAATATGTCTTCGTAATTAATTTTTTTTTAAATATTGAAAATCGTTTCCTTGATTGACTCGTTTTCATACTTTAATTTTTGGAAAAAAATTGGAAAAAGTAGTCTTTCATGCGGTTGTTCTAGGTCTATGACGTATGTCTTTGACATTAAGTGAAGAGGGTGGGACTGAAATCCCTTAAGAAAGCATTAATACTAACTAGTAACACGCATTTTCAAAAATAATTATGTGTCATTATAAACAGAACTACAGACATGTAGACTTCACAAACAGTAGCAGTAACTCATTTTTTAAAAAATTCAATTCACAGTAGTAGTGTTTGAGGCAGTACCATAGTTTGGAAACTATTTATCAGGGTCCGATTATGTTTAACTTAAGTTTCAGATATTATATTTTTTGAATACTTTGAGACCCCCCCCCCCTAACATTACCTCCGACGGTTACGCCTCTGAGTGGGTGTCGACAAATTTTCACTGTGCCATCGATGACTTATCTACGGGCCGTCGTACTCTGTCATCAAAACACAAACAATAGGCAAAGACGATTTCATTTTCGGTGTTAAAATTGTAATGTATAATTAATTAATATTAATACAGAACGAATTGTAGCCTAAACTTATTTCCGTTGCAACAATTATATGTTTTATATATATATATATATATATATATATATATATATATATATATATATATATATATATATATATATATATATATATATATATAGAGAGAGAGAGAGAGAGAGAGAGAGAGAGAGAGAGAGACGGAGGGGGGGGGGCTTATGAACATAACAAATAAAATTCTTTTTTATTCGTCTTTCAGCCTACCGGTTCATTGATCAAAAGTAACATTAATCACCAAAAAAAATAAAATTTTCTAACAAATATCGGCTTCTACGCCACGAAACAAACTCATCTCCTCACTTGAATACTCATCACACCGTTGTCCGCTCCCTAAATTTTTCCTACATCTACTCCAGTCAAGCTGTTTATTTACAGGAAACATTTAACTACGATCTCCCCACCCTTCCCTCATTAAGAGGATCCTCGATTGGCTCACGCCTTGCCGTGGCGCCAGCCGTGCAGATACGGTCAACACAATGGCTACTTACACCCATTCACAAGGACAATGCAAAGTGGGTGCAGCTATATTTAAACACCACGCTCAACCTCTTCAAAAATAAGTGTCAAGCTTCGTGTGTCGAAATGGTTTCAACTCTTCACTTCAAAACCTGACCTATCTCTCTAGTCGTTGTGTTTCGTACGTTCAGTCGTAAGCAAATGAAATACGTCGTGGATGGAAGAATATCATAAGTAACGGTAGGTGTTTTTGTTTTTCTTTGTTTTTTTTGTTTAAATTTAAGTTTACTAACATAACGTAATTTTTAAAACAATTATTCATATTTTCTTCTTCTTCTTTGTTAAATGTAATATTGAAAGTTATCTTCACTAACACAAATGAGAACCACGTGGCAACGTCATGCACCACATGACCCCTTTCCTTTCATTTTTTTCTTGCACTAGACTATTATATTGTACGAGCCGGCCCGCGGCATAACATACGCCGCTATTTAGTTGTTTCTAATTTTCAATAATTCATAATTTGTGAATTCGACAGTACCAACGCTGACACTGAAAATATTTCTTTAAAACACTATAAGTAGCTCGTTAAGGACCATAACCCCCCCCTTCCTCCCCCCCCCTCCCCCCCCCCCCCTACGTTTAAAATCGTTGGCTCTGCTTGTAAACATTTAGAGTGAACACAGCTCACTAAAACCATGTAGGGGTGGGGAGGTAGGGAGAGCGTTTGCAGCTTGTTTTCTAACGGCTCGAAGAGGAGAATTATATATATAGATATAGATAACAAAGAGACGAATGCTTATTACATAAGCCAATTTTTAAAGTATGAAATGTGGAGAGCTATAAAGTTTTAAACAGTTAAAGTAACTATTGAACTGTCAAAAAAATAGATTGTTAGCTCTTATTTTAGTTAAACTCCCAAGCGAACTGTTCTAAAAAAATAACTTGATGCAGTATCACTACTTATGAACGTGACTAGAAAATAGCCACACTTAACTTAGGATTTAAGGCTTTAAAGCTTAATACACTTTTTTTTTCAAAATTCTAACCCTTGGTCTTTAATTGCATTCTTTGAAAATATCGTTCAATGTCTTTGTTGATAGATTTGGAAAACTCCGCACCTGTAAGTAGTTTTGCTTAAGAAAACGGATGCATGTACAATAACAATCTTTCCTTCCTGTTAAATTTACAAATTAAAAAAAAAAAAAAACTCGTGAAGGGATCCTATTAGATTTTCTTCCGTTTATTGTGTATCTCTCCATATATTCCCCCCCCCCCCCCCCCCATGCGCCACCACCGACGGCCTTCCCCTCTTTCTCCTCATATCCATACACACCCCGCCCTCCGCCAATTTGAAGATAGGGTGGTGGTGTGGTGGGGGGGGGGGGGGATAGATTCGTAGGTAATACACCTGCCTCACGCGCGAGCGAAGCACGCAAGCAGAATTAAGCAGCCTGCTCATTCCCACTCTCACAGGCGTCTTACACTGTTCTACCTCGTCTGCTGGACGATAATGGGGTGTAGTGGTTGATTGGTTTCGTACCGCGCTTAGCCCTGACTGCTTTTTTTTTTTAGTTTGGAATAGTAAAGCACCCTTTCATATACTGCGTTTGTATAGTGTTTGGATTTATCATGGAGGAGGAGCGTAAAGCGATACCACGTACTGACAAACTCAGTGTTAAGACTATTGTATTGATGGGTAATTGATTTTTTTTTTTACTTTACTAACGGTCAAAAATTAGAAGAAAAAAAAATAAAACCAATTTATTGTATTTTTTAAAAATAAAATAACCGCAATTTACAAAAATAATTAAACTGGATTTTTTCAAAATTTTTAAAACTAAAAAGATTTGAAAATAAAATATTTGTTTTCAACTCAAGAAACTGACGCCGTGCATATCTAAGCTAATAATTCGGTAAATGTGTGTGTAATTGAATATTCCTATGAGTTCGTCCCTATGTCGTTTAAAAAAAAAAGCAAACCACTCAAGTTTAAAATTAAAAGTTGTAATTATAAATACTGTCAAGTTTTCTTTTCTTCTGTAAATTTTGAAAACACAAAAACAAAATTGTAAATCGATCCGAGCGAAAAGGCTAATTAACTTAAACAATTCCAGTATGAAGTCCGTGTTTTGTTTGTTATAAATCTTTTTATTGCAGACGCTAAATAGAGGTTTTACTATCTATTTTTACAGTATGTGAACCAATTCTGGCATAGTGACTCAGTATTTGGATTGCTATTTTTTTTTTCTTAAAAGGATGTTAAAAAATGTAGTGTGTATTTCATAGTGAAGGAACAGGTAGCTTAACAAGGTGTTTTCTGATGTTGGGAAGGTGTTGGTTTTTTTTTCTTCTTCACGTCTGGTTTTGACATTGCAGATTTTTAAACAATTCCTTTTTTCTCTCCTTTGATGTGTTTTTGTTTAGAGCAAGTTGGAAAAAGTACTCAGTTTAGGAAACACTATTGTAATGGAAAATGTGACAACTCGTTTCTGTGACATTTTTTTTTCCTTTTTTAACAAACAAAAATAAAAACCGTTATGGATATTTGTGTAGCACAATTTAAAAAAAAAAAATCATATATTCTAATTGTTTCTGTTGAAAATTCTCAAAGGATTATTGCATCTGCCACGAGCACACGAGCAAGTTAAAAAACTCGATTTAGAAATCCGAGCGGAGAATTCATCCCAGCTCTGCCGCCTGAATTAGTCGACTGGCCGCGCCAAAGGTGTTGAGGATTATGCTCTTCTGTCACGACAGCGTCACCGGATGTGTTTGTGCCTGCCTTCCACGCAGCGGCCGTCGTACACTATTTCCTTCCTGCGTCGACAAACACCCACGCATTGTTCGCCGAGCCGTCCAAGGGAGGGCGAACACCAGTCCCCCACAGTCGTATCACACACCTCCGGTCGTGTGACCGTCGCGTCCCTGGCACTTTGCGTGTGCGCAAGTACAGCTCACGTCCTTTATTAAGTGCGCCGGCTGCGTTGTTCATCCATTCACGTTCAGAGGGCGCGCGGGGTTCTGCTGTTGTTGTTTTTTTTTTATTTAAAAAAAAAACCCAGCACTCACCCCTTTATCGAGTTCCCAAAGACAATCAAACACATAAAAGGGGGCTCGGAGATATTAGAGTTTGATGCCCGTCTGCGCAGGTCGACGTGGTAAGATCCATACCACTCATGGTCTCATAACCACCCGAGAGCGTTGCACTCAAAATGTGCTCGCGGCCACCATGGGAGAAACATCAGGAGCTGTAGCCGCGCTGAGCCTGGGCCGCATGATTCTTGTCTCCCTCTTGGTGTGGTGCTACTGCTTGGCCGGTTGCCTTGGGGAGCCAGCTCCCCCCGCGGTGCTCACAAAGGCGCTGGAAATCGCTGGTCACCTGGAGACGCTCCAACACAAAGCAGACGCAGCACGCTTCGACCAAAGTCCTTCGTTAGACTCGGAGAGGTTGACTGGCCTCACGCAGTACATCCATGAAAACAGGGATCGCATTCCATTTGGGAAAAGCCTAGAAATGGAAGAGCTCGTGGAGGTTTTACTCTTATTCATCAACGAGCATTTAAAAAACGACGAGGATCAAGGATATTCCACCGAGTCGGATTTGCCGAATATTTACATTCAAACCAACGAGAACGTCGAGTCATCTGATTTAAATAACATCAAAAACACCCACGAATCCCACGACGAGGAAACGAAAACAAAGTTTCAACAGTTTTTAACCAATGTTATCGCCATCGCTAAGGAAACCTTACAGTCAGAGCGACCGAAGCAGGCGCCCTCACAATCATCGGCTCAGACTTTGCAACACGACCCTAAAGACATCTCGGTAGAAGAGTTACGGGGATTAGTAAGTGATATCCAGCTGTATAAATTTCTCAGAGCTAACCACGACGCATCGGGGCCTGATTTTGCTGACTTGGTCCGTGTGTACCTAAGAAATAATTTAAAACGTTCAGACCACAACGGCGTCGCCCTATCTCTGTTGGCTAACAGCAGTCCTCAAAGCAATGATAACGATGAGCGAAGTCAAAACGCTTTTTTTGACCAAGAAAAATCACATTCATTGCCTTTTGAGTCAGATACCTCACAAAATACCGACACAGGTTTTTCTCTGTTGACGAAACTGCCGGTGAGGCAAAATAGACAGAACGGACTCAATGACCCGGTCTCTTTGGAATCCATCGTCCACAGATCGGTGAAAAGTTCGAGGGATAGCCCTCGGGGGGACGGGGAATATAGTTACAATTCATTGACGCACCTGAAGGATCAGTCCATCTATGCCCCAGATAGCAACCACGAGGATTCTTTCAGAGGGCCCCTCGTCGCTGATGAAAACAACAACAACAACAAACTCGAAAACAAACACTTAATCGAACAGATACGAGACGCCTACCAAGACGAGCGTCGGTCAACGAGCCTGGCGGGCAGCGAAGAGTTGACCAGAAACTTGTCCACCTACCTGGGCGCCTCCAATTTTTACCTCAGCAGGACCAGGCGGAGCTCCCCTACGGGCAAAAAGAAAAAAAATGGCCGCCAGAGGCTGTTCATCTCTTTCGGTCACGTGTCACCGTGCGAGCTCAAAGACAGACATTTCTGCATGCACGGGGGGACCTGCGTCTTCGTCGCCGCTCTGGATATCAAAACTTGCAGGTAAATATTACAGGTATTTTCTTATTCTAAACACATACATGTAAATATTACAGGTATGTTTTTATTCTAAACACATACATGTATAGATTACAGGTATTTTCTTATTCTAGACCCATACATGTAAATTTTACAGGTATTTTCATATTCTAAACACATGCAGGTAAATATTAAACGTGTGTTTTTCTAATTCTAAAAACATGCAGCTAAATAATACACAAGTACTTTATCCAAATTTAAAAACTTGCTGTGGGTAAATATTGTACAGGTTAGTTTTTTTTTGTCAGCCTACGAAAAGCTACACTGAAAACTCAACAGTTTACATCGCAACGAAAATGGCGGTTTAAATATAAATACTTCACAATACACGTCTTGTGTAAAGAGATTTGGAGTTAAATGCCTTTTAGTGCTTCTGCCCGTAAGGCTCTCAATTTACTTCAATTGTCAAAGTGTGTCGGAAATACTACCCGAAACTTCTAACTTCTATTCATAAGATCTCAATAAACTCATAAGAAAACTAATTTAATTATCTTATTACCTACCACTCAACTCTCAGCTACCCATTCCCCCACCTTCCAACCCCATAAACATTTCACTGAAAGGCAGGACTACCATTCTCGCCCTGAAATAGTCTTGTATTTTAATCTGGGCAAATCTGTTCCATCCTCCTGTTTTTAAAAGAGCGTTATTAAATGTCTAACACGCTCATAGCCTGCAACGATTCAATCGCTTACCAAAAGCTACATGTCGACCAACATTGCTGTCATAAGTTCTTCGTGCAGTTTTCACAGTTCATCATCATCGTTTCCAGTTCGTGCTCAAGACACACGGGACAGATGAAGTAGAGTTCATCTTTTTCAATGACCTTGGCACATAGAGGATAGTGTGCTCAGCATTATGTCCATCCGCCTTTGTTTCCCTTACGTGAGTCCAGTACCCATTAGAGCTGGGTGGACTCAGGGACGCCCTACAGACTCTTACCCGGGAGCCGAACTCGAGACTTTCGGCCTAGCAGTTGTAAGCTCTACAATTCGAGTACGCCGTCGTTTTCACAGTTAACATTTCAAAAAGTTTACATTTATACGCTTTAAAATGATAGAAAGCGACAATAAGGGTTAGTTAGAGGGTGTGGTCTTAATGTTAGACATTGCTTTAAGTATTTATTGTATTATTACTTGAACAAACCAAAAGTGGGCCTCATCACCCCCCTCACACACACACACACACACACATACACTCATCAACAGTATGACGCCTTTCTGTGTCTGTAATACATTTGTTATATACTGAATGTGCTAAAATAGCGTGAAGCCATTTATGTGCTCGTATTTTGTATATCTTAGAACTGATCCCAGCTCTCAACCCAGTCCTTTGATTTTAGCCCCTGACCCTTGTTCTTACTCCAGCCCCTGATTCTTGCCCCTGACTCTAGCTTCCCCCCCCCCCCGGGCCCCTAATTCTAGACCCTGACCCTCTCGCCCCAGGCCCTGACCTAAGCGCCTGTCCATAACCTTAAAAGTGATAACTGCAGAAGAAAAAAAAAACATGGGTAGGATAATGTTTTTTTAACAACCATTGGCTCCTGTAAACAGCTAAAACCTCCCACCTCGGCAACTTTTTTTTCAAAAGTCGTGCAGCTAATGCTAAAATTACCCCCCACCCACCCACCTTACCTATTACGTCAAGTGGTTGCCACGTGCCATCCCATAATTCACTGGTTTATAACCCGCCTCAACACGACACTGTCTTGACACTGGAAATATCGCCAATAAAATAACGCTTCGTTTTCTCCTACCACCTCCTCCCCGCACAGCGCTCTGGAATTGATTAGTAATCTCCCTTGAAATTATCCTTTAATACCCTACAAGCGATTTAATTTCTAAATGTGGGATTTGTTAAAAGGCTGGGCGTATTTCGCGAGGGTATTAACTCGTGGCAATGGCTAGCAATGGCACCGTTGTTATACCCAATGTCTTATCCTTTATTTACACGTTTACTATGGGCGCGTTCTATTTACATTTCGTTTATTTCCATTTTTCATAAGACTTTCGTGAGATACATCGATTTGGTTGAGGAAATGTTTATTTTTACACTCCTCTAATCAGCTTTTGTTGTTTTTTACCTTTGTAATCTGCACATTGATAATATGACGTTTTTAAATCGTTGTTGCTGTAATATGTATTAGTTATTTAATTTTTACTGTAATAGCTCGAGCTTGACGTTCTTTTCTTTAGTAATCTTTTCTTACACATCATTTTCTTTAATATTTTCTCTAATAGTTTCTAGCTCCGTTCGCAGAAATTAATAGTCAAGTCCACGCTTCTCCTTAGTACGTTACCCCCCCCCCCCCCCACACACACACCCTTTCCATAATAATCCCATTTCTTTTCATTCTTCTCGGTATCGTGTTCGTCATTATCTCTTCCTCTCGCATCTCCTTCGTCGCTCTCCTTTATATTAGTTCCCAACGATGAAGGATGATAACAGGCGCGCGGTATCCGAGTCGATAGTGCGTTAGCCTTTACTCACTGACAGTCATCTACAATTTAGCGAGTCCTTATCTGCGTGGGAGAGATGATCTTCTTTGGTGGATAAAATACAAACATTTGCACCATTTCAGAGGATTTCGGTTTAAATCTTAAAAGGAAATCTTTTTAAAATTGTAGTTTAATGAATCTCGACTTACACACATATTTAGTGCAAGATTCATTCAAAACTTTTATTCGAGGCTGTAGGGTTAATTATTTTTGTATTTCTTCTTCTAGATCATAGTTAATGTTCGTATTTTACTAAACTCATGTTTCTACCTGTTTTTTAAATATTCTGTGTATTGCTGCCCAAATGATGTTCTAATTATATTATCGCACTTTTATTTTCTAACTATATTGCTGCCCAAATGATGTTCTAATTATATTATCGCACTTTTATTTTCTAACTATATTGCTGCCCTTGTGTGCTCTAGCTGTATATTTCCTGCCCGTTGAAGTTCTAGCCTTGTTTTTTCCTGGCCTTTTATATTCCAGTTGTGCAGCGCTATCAACCATGCATATCCTATGGCGAGATACAATAACTTTTTTCTTACTTAAATATCACCGCCTCGAGTTTATCCTTTATATTCATCTAAAGTGAAAATTACTCCTTCGAGCGAAAGAACCTCCCTCGTCCATCACAATGAATAGAATTTACGAATTCATGTTTTATACTATTACTGTCCACGTACCTTTTGTTTATATAAGTCACATTCGCTTATTTAATTTTTTTTTCTCTTCTATTGCTGAAGAGGTTAAGTACCCGTTGATCATTAGAGGGGGGTAGGGGTTATGGTTCCTCACAGGAACAGATGGTTTTTCTCGCTTCCTGGGGCCAGGTTTCAACAGATGGCCAATTCCGTTCTCAGGTTTCACCTTTCGCTTTCCCCGCCCCATTTGTTTACAGCCGAATTTAAAGACCGCTGGGGAGGAACCTGAAATGTAAAGACCGTGAAGGCGGAGACCTAGCCGGGCTGGTGAAGAATAAGCTATTTCCTGTTGTGAAATTCTCATCTCGGGCGTTATTTAATACTCGTATCACCGATTGCTACTTCACTTGGTTTTTTTTTTATTGTTTTTTATTTTTGGTTTTTTACTCACTTCAAGAGATTGTTGGCTTTCATTTGCTCACAATATTGTAGCATCCTTCTCCCGGGGTGTTAAAACTATATTTCCGAACACTTTGGTCGAGTAAGTTTAGTTGTAGGAAAGTTGTAGGAAACGTGTCAACGACCGAAAGCAAGTCGAAAATGTTTTTTTTTCTCTAAACGAACTCCGTGTACCTTTAAAAAAAGGAATGACCACAGACAAAAATGCTTCGACCACAGGACTTCGTTAGAATAACATGTAATATGTACCGTAAATCTCATAAGGTAAAGGTTTTGATGTACAAGTACAGTACTAAATTTTTAAAATTCTTGACGTTCTTACTAGACTGTATGCACATGAAAAATTACAGCTTTTATTTATTACTTTTTTATTTGTTTTACAAAATCATTAAGCTTTTAATGTATTTTAACAACTTCTCTTAAGGCAGTGGTTCTTAAACTTTTTTGGAAGTGCCGAACCAAACCATTTTCATATGCGCATTCACCGAAACCTTCTTAATAGTTCCACTGTCCGCATTGACCAAACCCGGTCGTGAAACAAGATTCGAACGTGTGTCTTGACTTCCGCCGAACCCTTAAGACTGACTCGTCGAACCCCTGGGGATCGATTGAACCCAGGTTAAGAACCTCTGTCCTAAGTAAACTTACAGCTGCTAAACATTTGTCGTAGGCCCTACTTATTGGAAAGGGAAGTGGTGATATGGGAAGGTCATTTGCCCCCCCCCCCCTCCCCCTTTTTTTCTCTCATGGAACCGAAATCGAAAGTTGACAAGTTCCTGTGCACTAACCACTATTTTATCTATCGTGTAATAGCATTGTTTGAACTACAATGTCTCGTTAAAGATATCAATGTTTTGAACACTTAGAAATCCTAGCATTCTTTCTCCTTTTTTCCCCCCTTCTGTTTTTGCGTTTCTGAGGGTGTTGCCCTTAAGACGGAGTTATTTCGTAGCAATGTGCTTTTTCCGCCGATTAGATTACGTTCCACAACCCATTCTTAATTAGGTTAACAAATATAACACTAATCGAATTCCCCGAGCATAACTGATAGTTGCTGCCCTTTACAGCAATCTCGCCATTGTTTACAAGCGGACGTAATCGCCCTACAGCCGAACCCGCCCCTAGAGAAGTATTTCACTACGAGCCGGAGCCACCCCTGACAATAACAGCTAACAATTACACAGTCAGTGCGGGGTATCTACGCGGAGGTAGATACTCTAATCTTAAATACCTCGAGACGCAAGCGACCTTTTGTCTTGAGAATGTACGTGTATCTTCCACCTTGCGCGTTGGGACAGCCACGAGAAGCCTATCGGTGTGGTGTACTTCTAGAACAATCTCGGTAACATTCCACTGGTGTCCCGTC